ACTTGAGGCGGTTCTAGGAATTTTTGTCTCGTTTACATTTTAGGAGAAAGTCAATCAACCATTCGATCCGGTTATTTTGGTATACCCTCTAAGCCATATTGACGTAAAGATTTATACTTGTTTTCAGGGGCTGTCATATTTTTCTTGGAATTGTGACGGAAATCGTTAGTCATGCCTTTGAATCAGTCAACTGAGTGTTTTACTTTGTTTTGCTGTTTGATATTTGCATTGGCTTCGGTTCAAAGTTTTGTAAAGTGAAAGTAACACACTGTCTAGCAGTAAAGCCACTCAATAAAAGGAAGTTGCAGCCTTCCAGCTGCCACCATTTTCCTTTTACAGTGTTCCAGTGAAATGGAAAAATCTCTCAACACACAAAAATCTGTAAATAAAAAACAGTTCAATTGTATAAGGAAAAGCAGTCCTGATTTCAGTTTCCGGCCTGAGTGAATAAGCAAAGTTTCGTAAACAACTGAACTCTATCAGTTTCCTAACAAATCACGGTTCATCTTTTAACAATGAAACTTTCTTGAGGTTTTTTCTCGCCGATAGATGCACATGACCTGCATGTGTTTTATTGGTATCAATAATATCGGGCAGTATAATATTATAACCATTAATTTTTAGCAAAATTCAGGAGTAAGCACCGGCAAATCCCAGTAAAGATTTCTTGAACATTTGCATATAGTCGAAATTCATTTTTCTCAAGCGCCACACTTCACTAGCCCTACATGGCGCTGTATAATACTTCTGAATCTGCATAACCTGCACAGAAGAACATGTACCATCGAACAGATAAGTCATTACGGCTTAGTTTTAATCAATGCTACCGGTGATAGTTGTCTAATATAGCTTCAGTCCACGCAGCCACTGAGTATGTCCCATCCTATACCTATACGTTTTATGCCGCAAGGCCAGTCAAGGAGCCGGCTGTTTTAGGATCTTTCCAGATGATTCGAATTCTTGTAACTCAGGTAATCCTTCGTGTAGCTCGGTGCAAGTCCACTCAGAGCCTAAGAATAATGTCTTGATCATGTTGATTTGGTTATGTCAGCGTGCTATTCTTAGAATCTCGTGTTGTTAACTAATTATCATAAAATATATTGATCAGGATCATTGTTTTATGTTATGCAACTTTTGCTATATCAGAACACAATTATACGAAAGTATAGGTCCTAAAGTAACGCCTTTTAATGAGTAATTGATCGATTGACAAGCGGTGGATGCATCAGATGCTGGGCTTGACGACAGGCTTTGGAATGGAAACGACCCCTTAAGCCTTTTTAAGCCCATCTGCTCAATCATGCACATCGCGTGATTTCTCGGAAACATGGAAAGCTTTTGAGTCACTGCCAGTGCTATGCTGTGTTCATTGGAAAGTCATCTCTCCATTCAAATTTCTGAATCCTGAAGATAAGCTTGCTGTTAGCTGGGTGCATTTTCGAGTTTTTTTGCTTAGTTTCTGAAGAGGGAAAGACCAAGTTTGAATACACAAGGATATACAAAGCAGCAGCATTTGTTTATCGTAACGATGAAAGCATTTAAACTTTCGAACCTTTTACGTAGTGATTCAGTGCCTCCCAGGTAAGTTTAACATTAATTTGTCGTTGTTGTGTTGAGAATTCGAACGCTATTGAAGATATTATACACCCTACGTTATACTTTGGAATAACCGAGCATTTTGGCGGCGAACATTTTAATAAGGAAACTGAAAAACACAAAACCTACAGTTTTCTATATTCTAAAGTTGATTGCGGAGCGAGAGATTCAATATCCTTAAAAGACCTGGTTAAACTGCAATTTAAAATGCCCCTCTTAGTCACAAGCGAACTAGTGAGAGTGAAGGTCATAGCACGGCATGTTTTTCGCTTTGAATACGACGCCGGTTTACTAGCAAACCAGATCAATGTAAATTAAATGGCTTTTGTGAAGAAATTCGAAAGCGAATGTCGCTTAATGCAGAAGCAAACATCCCTTCTGTTGTTGTTTTATATTTTCGGCCGAAAGTTTCTATCGTAGTACACCGTAAAAGGGCGATATGAATGTTTTCGAGGTACTCTACAAGAACCAAAACAAATTCTGGCTTCAGTACACAGTTAATGCTTTTAATTTCGTATGCATTAGTTCCGAGAAAGTGCTCTCGTAATCAATTGATATACCTGGGGCGAATGGATCACCGCAGACGAATATAATGAGGTTCGGATTCTTAGAAAACTTTGAGCGTCTTATAAATGCTGTTGATATAACAATACCGCTTTTCTTGTCATAACAAGATATCATTTTAAAACGTGCTTTATCTATTGCCCACCAGAAAGATGCATTATACGTTCAGATCAACCACCTTTGTAATGCTTTGAAGCATAAAATATTTGCAAATACTATTATTTTCCCAAGTTCTTTTAAAGGAATAATGTCTTAAAAACAGCCATCGATCCTTAAGAAAAAAGAACGAGATAAGTGCGAAATTTTATCAACATTTCTAAGTAGTAACGTTTGACAGACTCCCGATTTCCTACAAATGAAGAGGTCCAGTTCAAGGTGAACTAAAGCTATATTTCGCATCTTTTAGATGCCTTGCTTAGCTATAAGATAAGAAAATTGTATCAAGTTTGAAAGCCACCTTTCTGTTGGAAAGCCAGGAAATTTGCAGCGAACATGGAACAGTCACGACATAATTTTCTTCGTTTCTTGAATTTTGTACCTAAAGGTCTCGAAAAGGTCACTTTCAATCAGTCTGTAAACGAATGTTCAGACATGGCAAAATGCTTGTACTAAATATCTATTTGTCTAAACAGAAATGTTTTGATTCAAACGGTGTAGCCACAACATACAATTTAAAAATTATGGAGCGGAAGAGCACTTAATTCGTAATCTGACATTTCACGAAAAGCTTATTGCAGGGTAAGCGGCGGCACTAGTCTATGTAGAAACTCGAAACTCCGCTTTCAAAATCTCGAGACCCCAGCTTTCGCGGGGGTTTGCGAATGCTCTCGCTCTCCTTAGTTGCTCAAAGCATCTTAAAACCTCTATTTGTTGATTAATTTCAAGCCTTTTTCTCGAATTATAGCACTTTGATTCTCGACTCCTTTGCCAGGATTCCCTGAAGTGGTTGGAGGCTAAATTCACCTCAAGATATCTCATTCTGTGGATATTCTGTCCTCTGATTGTTATACATTTTCTCGCGAATAAGCTAAGTTCAGCTAAAGTTATGTTGCTTGATATATCATCTGCCATGCTAATACCTGTTAAGTTTGCCTATTCACATTTTCTTATCTACCAGATAACTTGTTGTTAAGGAAATTAAAGTGTAAAGGATTAATTACGCGCGAATGCAGGAAGATCACATTTAGCATTTCTTTTCTTGTTACTTGTTATCTATGACTCTTTGAAAGATAATGCATTATATACCTAGATATGTTATTGTTGTTGATTTCCTTCTCCTGCTCTAAATACTGGTTCGGCATACTTGCATTTACATTTCGATTTACTGAATTTCATGTATACAAAGTGAAAGAGGAAGCTGCATTTGATACATACATACATACATACATAAGCTTTATTTATCCTTGGATTTCAGTGTAGCTTACAAGCTAGTATCTCCGATCCTAATTACTAATTTTAAAAGTTACAGCAAGAACAAGGCTAAAAAGAGAAAAAAAAAATCATAATATAATAATATAATAATATAATAATCATTAATATAATAATATAATAATCATTAATATAATAATATAATGTAATATTAATGTAATATTAACAGAAACCGTGCACTAACAGTTTGCGCTTAAATTCACTATAATCTACAGTCTTTCTAAAGTGGTCAGGTAGGGAGTTCCAGTACTTAACAGATGAATAGCTAAAAGAATTTAGACCATATGTGGTTGTAAACGGCTCAGGGAGTGATAAAATATTGGTGCCCCTTAGGGAGTAAGCTGTAGATCTTAGCTTGATCAGTTGTTTCAAATAGCACGGATATTTACCAAGATGGAGACAGTTGAATATACAAATCATCATATTTTGTATCCTACTGTTGGCTAAACCACACACACCTGCCTTGTCTAAAAGATCATCATAGTTCGAGTCCCAGTCCTTTAAAACAAATCTTAAAATACGTCTATTTAAGGTGTCCAGTTTAACAGAGTCCTCTGAATTACAAAAGTGCCATATCATTGAACAGTAGTGAAAATGGGGTAACATAAACGTTTTATAAAGGCGAAGCATAATTTTGGTAGAACTAAGTTTGCCAAATCTTTTGAAGACACTGAACTGATTATTTATTTTTTTACATACAGAGGATATGTGTTCCTTGAAATTAAGTTTATTATCAAGAATTATTCCAAAAAGTTCAAGGCATCTTGTGGTTGAGAAGGAGAAAGGGTAATCGGTTTTGCCAAGGACCATCCCTTGGTGTTTAGCGGGGTTGGCTTTCATCCCATTGTCTTCGAACCATTTGTTTGCTATTTGTACATCATGATTGATCCGCTGTTCCAAGGCTACTGGGTCTACGTCAGATGTGTGCAGTTGGCAGTCATCAGCATAAGTGTTTAGTTTTACAGACTTAATGTGAAAGATGAGGTCATTGAGGAACATGTTGAAAAACATGGGTCCCAGGACGCTGCCTTGAGGCACGCCACGCTTCACGCTCATCCAATCCGAATAGGTATCACCAATTTTCACTCGCTGCATTCTATCCAGCCATCTATGATGGCTAAATGCAGTGTGATAAATGCGCCTGGAACTTACTTGATACATTCTCCTTCACTGGTGAGAAATTTTCTTGTGCTGAATGCTTGAGGAACTTGTTATTCAGGTAATAGTAAACAAAATTGAAAATATCATCAGATTGCATAGATAAGGTAGCTTGACCACAGATCGAAACCTCATCAGTAATTTTGGTAATAAACAAATTGATTTCATTGACTCTTGACGAATGAATGACACTATTGGTTAATGTATCATACACCTACGCATACCTGTTGCGGCAAAAAGACAGGAGACAAAAAGGACTTCTTTCGGCCATCGATACATTTTGTCATCGGGTGCTCCTTGGTGCAAGTTCATATTCTCCGGCACAAACAGTACTCTTTGTTACCGAGCTCTTAGCTTAAACGGTCGAAAAGTCTGAGATAAACTTGATAAGCAAGGAAGTGGTAGCTTATCTAAACTGTTTAAGTGTTTTTCTGATGTCTTGAAACATATCCCTTGGCAAACATGATCGCCAATGGAGCAGAAATGAGTGGGTAGAAGGGAAAGCAACTATGTCTCGAGGAAAAAAAAACGACTTGAGGCGAGTCTGGGAACTTTTGTCTCGTTTACATTTCAGCAGAAAGTCAAACAACCATTCGATCCGGTTATTTTGGTATACCCTCTAAGCCATATTGACGTAAAGGTTTATACTTGTTCTCAGGGGGCTCTCATATTTTTCTTAAAATTGTGACGGAAATCGTTTGTCATGCCTTTGAACAGTCAACTGAAGGAGTGTTTTATATTGATTTGCTGCTTGATATTTGCACTGGCTTCAGTTCAGAATTTAGTGAAGTGAAAGTAACACACTGTCTAGCAGCAAAGCCACTCAATAAAAGGAAGTAACAGCCTTTCAGCTGCCATCATTTTCCTTTTACAGTGTTCCAGTTAAATGGAAACTTGGCTTAACACACAAAAATCTTTATCTAACAAGCAGGTCAATTGTGTAAGGAGAAGCAATCCTGTTTCAGTTTCCGGCCTGAGTGAATAAGCAAAGTTTCGTAAATAAATTCACTGTATCAGTTTCCTAACAAAGCAATGATCACGGTTCATCTTTTAACAATGAAACTTCCGCAGGATTTTTTCTTACCGATCAATGCACGTGACCCGCATGTGTTTACTAGTATCAGTAATATTGAGCAATATAATATTATAACCGTTACATTCTGCCAAACTCAGCAGTAAGCACCCGCAAATCCCAGTTAAGATTTCTTGAAAATTCAAAATAAAAAAAATGTCATCAAATCGAAATTGATTCCTCAAGGGCCAAACTTCATGGCTCTGAATAATACTACTGAATCTACTGAATCTACATAACCTGCACAGAAGAAAATGCAACATCTAACAGATAAGTCGTTAGCTTATTATTAATCCATGCTACCGGTGATAATTACCTAATATAGTTTCAGTCCAAACAGTCACCGAATGTGTCCCATCCTATACCCATACGTTTTAAGCCACAAGGTCAGTCAAGGAGCCGGCTGTTTTAGGATCTTTCCTCATGACTTGAACTCTTGTATCTCACTTTTAAGTATCAAAATACTTAATGTAGCTCGGTGCAAGTCCACTCAGAGCCTAAAAATAATGTCTTAATCATGTTGATTTCGTCATGTCAATGCACCATTCTAGGAATCTCTTATTAACTATTTATTATTAAAAATATTGATCAGGACCATTGTTATGTTAAGCAACTGTTGCAATATCAAAGTACAAGTATATGCAAATATAGGTCCTAAAGGAACACCCTTTTATGAATACATTGACAAGCGGTGGATGGATCAAATGTCAGGCTTGACGACCCCTTGAGCCATTAAGCCCATCCGCTCAATCATGCATATCATATGATTTCTGTGCATTATTCATGATAAAGTCAACTCTTCATCCAAATTTCTAAACCATAGAGATTAACTTGCTGTTGGCTGTATGCATTTTCGAATCTTTTTGCTTAGTTTCTGAAGAGGGAACGACTAAGCTTGAAGACCTAAGGACATATAGAGCAGAGCAGCATTTGTTTATCTTAACGATGAAAGCGTTTAGACTTTCGATTCTGTACGTAGTGAATCAGTGCCTAACAGGTAAGTTTAGCGTGTGTTTGTCGTTGCTGTGTCGAGAATTCGAATGTAATTGAAAATATTATCTAAAGTTGATTGCGGAGCGGAAGACTCAATATTCTTAAAAACCTGGTTAGGCTGCATTTTACAATGCCCCCTCGTAGACACAAAAGATGATACTAATTGCAGGCAGATGATGGAAAACTGCGGTTAAGGTTGAAAATGCTAATTTGGTCTGTATACATGTGTAAGTTATTTTGAGGCGGAACTAGTGAGAGTGAAAGAAACAACACGGCACCTTTCTCGCTTTGAATACGACGCCGGTTTACTAGCAAACCAGATAAATGCGTCTTTTGCCAATCTTTCTTCAAAGAGACGATTTATGCGTCTAGATGAATAGCTTAAGGTTAAATAACCCAGACACATCAAAAGCAGAGCAGCATTTATTTATCTTGAAGATGAAAGCATTTCCATTTTCACGAGGAAAGTGAAAAACCGCAGAACTCGAAGTAGTTGACTACGAAACACTCAGTATCTTTAGGAAGCTCGTTATAATTAATTTTACAATGCTTCCTCTTGGAGGATGATACAAACTGAAGGCAAATGTCGGGAAACTGTAGTAAAAGCAGAATGCGTTAATTTGGTCAAATATATGTAAGTTGCTGTGAGGCAGAAGTAGCGAAAGTGAAAGTAACAGCAAGGCACCTTTGCAATGTGTCAGTAATGCGACCGCGGTTCCCCAGATAAGTCCAGGCGGGCTGCGCACTCCGATAGCGTTGCATTCTAGTAGCTTAGTTTTCAATACGGCGGTGAAAGCGGCAGAAATCGGCAGATTTTGACTGAACATTCCGTAAAAGTTAGGCCGTTCCTTTTTCCTTTCACCGTAGGTAAATGTAATTTGATTTATTCTGAACGTTTAAAACTATTTTTGGTCGTATTTGTCGCGTATTCTACGGTTCTCAAGGACAAACCCAGTCATCATTATTGTCACGGAAGAATAAAAGGAGTCGCGCAGGCCTGTAAACACTTTTTAACTTTCAAGGAACGGCAACAGACAGTGAATCCATATTATATTTCATGTTTATTCACGCTTTCTCGCTGCCACCGGAGCTGTTCACTCGACCGCGACAGGATGCAAATGACTCACTTTTTTGTGTTATGACCATGATGCAAGCAATTAGAGTGCGCACACAGATAAACCATAGTGATAGGCAAAGTTGATATGGAGACACGAAAACAGGTGAGTAATTGATGAGGATCAAAGAAAGTGGAAAGCGACTGTCGCCATGCGCAGTCCCAGACACACCGTCTGATATTGTTTGTTATTTTCACTCGCAAGTTTCTATCGTAGTACACCGTAAAACAGCGATAGAAACGTTCTCGAATTACTTTATAAAGCATCAAATAAAATCATGGCCTTAGAACACGTTCAAGGTTTTTACTTAAGTGTGCGTGAGAAACGAAAGCTTTTTAGTAAACAACATGTCTACCCGGATCTAATGCATCACCGCAGGCGATTAGGAAATGTCGGTTATGTAGTGTTTTCGGCAGCTTTCAATCACAGTGTTTGGAATGCCCCCGTGGTCAAAAAAGAAAGAAGTCTATAGTTTAATTTTATATGAATGTTGATTAGTCATCGTTGCGTTCATACCAGAAGTTTCAGAGTATAAACACTATATCTGGCGACAAGGATCAAGCATAAAACCCACGGAGCGTGCTCCTAAAGGATCTGAAGGGATTTCCAAAGCGATTTCCAACTGAGACATTTCCGAAGTATTTTTCTCGTGCAATCAAAACATTATGGCGATTTCTTTACCAAACTTCCCACCGCTTGAAGTTCACTTCGATGGTAATGCTGACCCGAGATGGAAAAGATGGCTAGAACGATTCGAGAGAGCAACCATTGGAATGGGGATTAGGGAAGGCAAGGCAGGTCGACGACGGTGATGACAAAGATTATAAACATACGCATGCTATGCATGCAAGAGTTTTTTTTTCCGTGGGTGGATTAATTGAAACATTGTAAGTGATGTCTACATTTTTACAAAAGGGAAGAGTATTAACGCAGAAAAGATCGAAAATGTCGAATTAACTCACACTCAGGTATTTTGTGGTAGATTGTGTGTGATGTGCGAATAACTGTAACAAAAAAAAAACCGTATTGGTGCCACGGATACCTTTTAGTACAAAATGCAGACTGCAGACTGCAGAACGCAGAGTGCAGACCGGATACAAAATGTAGACCTGGTACGAAATGTAGACTACAGATTGCAGAGTGGGTACAAAATGCAGACTGAGAATTTTAAGTGTTTTTTTCGTCTGGCATGTGATAACATTTCATCTTACAACTTAACGAGCGTCACGCAGAAGCTTTTCCGCAATCACCTTTCACGATTATTTGCACTATTGGGGAATATTCCTGGCCGGTTTCTTGATCAAAGTCGCTCTTAATATAATTTCAAGCCTTCATATTGTCTTCTCAGATTTCGTGCGAGTTGGTTGGTGTGGTGTCTGTACAGATTTTACCAACATGATAAAAAATAGATCAGTGTAGATGTAAATGAGATGTCACTAGTAAATATTTAACACGCGCAATATTCGAGAAACAATTGACAGCTTTGCACGTGGTTCATCATCTTTTTAAGTGGTATGTGTGTATTTTGTTAATTAAAATGCGTACCGAGACTAAAACTGTTCCTTCGACTTGATTTTTATATATTTTCAAAAGAACAAATCATCTTGAACTGCCAATCAAATTCCCTTCGGCGCAAACCTCTGCGAGAAAACCTCGACTTATCTGGTCTCATGAAATGCATGAGAGCCGCCACCGTTGGGTGCAAGAACTGGAAACAAGAGCTCTACAAGTTTCTACGACTGTATTGGAAGACACCCCACCCGACTACTGACATCTCACCACCAGTTCGCCAACGATGCTCTCCAGAGAGACGGAAGAACATGGCAGATAGGGAAGCAGAGCAGAAGATTAAGATGAAAGCATACGCAGACCAAAAGTTAGGACTGAAATGGAAAAAAACTGCAACTTCCGATTATTACATTTCTAATCATTTTCCAGATACAACACTACTTTGTTGTCCAAATAAGGGTAGCCTACGTGTAGCCGAGCTACTCTTTACTCAGTCGAACGAATCGCTACAAGAAACAACTAGCTTTAATTTAATAGCTTCGTAACCCCACTCGTAAAGAGACCGAAAGTTGAAGGCGGGCAATCCTCTTGGTCCAAATACATCACGGTAGTGCACCTGGTCCTTTGTGAGAGCCTTAACGGGCGGCACAATAAATATAGTGATCGGTTTCTTCTCTAGAAGAGAGGCGATCGATCACTGGCGCCGCTTGATACACTAAAGATTTTCCATAGCCAGTTGGTAACAAAACGGAGACATCGTTACCTTCGAAAAACATATCAACGGCTTTCTGCTGTTCTTCTTGAATGTCTCTATGCCAAAACTCGCGCAAACTTGCCTTAAAAACCTCGTCGTAGTAATTTTTTCCACCATCTTGTTCTTTAGTATGAAAATAAATTACCGACTCTAGTCAATCAGGATTGACGAAAGAATCGTCAAAAGGGGTTCCCTCGCTTCCGTTTAAACTTGAGCGGGGGGAGTAGGGTACGGGGTACGGCTACACTTAGGCTATGAAGGTCGGAGCAACTCGAGAAGCAACCGCCAGTCTCAATTGAACAATTTGTTTTGATAATCTGATAGTTCTACTCCGGTTCTTGTGTTTAGGTCTCATAGGATAGTTCAAAGGTTCTGTGGGCCTTATCATGAGAGTAGCATCATCAAAGATGAATTACTGGAAACTGAGTAGAAAACTTTGGAAAACTGAGTAGAAGTGATGGAATAGTTGAAAGAGCTTTATGCAGAAAGTGACTCAAGTTTCTTTACCGTAGGGAGATGTCGTGATTTCACTTGATTGTCCAAACACTTAAATTTTTCATCTGAAGTGTTCAGCCAGATCACCTATTTCTAGTAGAATCCTTCTTAGAAAGATTGAGACGTTGTTCATTTTTCCGGCCTCGTCGGTCGGTTCTGAATATGCTATTTAAAAAGCGAACCAGTCTTGGAAACTTAGGAATTAGACAGAAACTCGAGATCGAATAAGTAATGAAAACCAGGCTGAGAGGCGGGAAATATTCTTATCAGATATCATAGACGTTGCGTGTTAATTAATCCGTTACGTTTTCTTTTTTTATCTCATTACATTTCCCACCGCTGACTAAGGTGCAATGCGAATGGCTCCTGATAAACACGTGAAGACTATGCTGCTGCCTTTTCCCTTTAAATTTGCAGCATCAAAATTAGCAAATTAAAACTTGATCTTCTAGGAATTTGACCTTTTACAATTTTTTTTTAATTCTTTGCTTAACTTGGTTCGTTGTAATTGTATTTGAACCATTTGATTTGTTTTAAATTGGATTGAGCAAAGCGATGAAGAAATCTTCGGTACTTTATATTAATTATCTTGTGATTCACTGCGTTACAGGTAAGCCAAACAGTTCTTCGTGTAGGAGTTGATGAGTTTTTGAACATGATTTAATTTCGGACAATTGACAGTCCTACTTCGGTGTCCAAAACGATCGTCGGTCAGAATCCTGAAGAACAGAAGAAGAATGTTATATTGCAGTGTTTTCAAACAACGTTTTATCAATAAGCAGTTCAAAAATCTCACACAAATTGCTGGAACGACATTTAAGATTGTTGATGTCTTTTTATGAACGAAATGTGACAATAAATGCGCTCTTCGGAGCATCAGTGTATATCACTCTTCAGAGGAATTACGAAGCCGAAATCGACCGTTAAGAAGTGAAACTGATAGACTAATATGCTAGGAAATATGTTCACACAGGACAGTTGAAGGCATAGCGTGCCTCTCCAGACAATATTCAAACTATTTTAATATGGGATGAATTATTTATATTTCTGTGCCATATACTCTATTTAAACTTTGCAGTTGCTACTAAGCAGTATGTGGCAAACTGATGACTCCATTCTTCAAGATTTCAAGACAATTGTTATGAACTATAATAAATTGTTCTAAGTGTTTAAGAATTGTTTAGGCCTGTTGGATTATCTTGAAATCCTTGTGCGAGTCTTGTGAGCCTTGGTTTGTCATGTGCTGCAAGACCACACATTTATTTTTACCCTTTGAGAGCAGTGTCCTCGACCGTTATGATACAGCTTAAGACTGATACGATAATAGTCATCGCTAGTTGTGTTTGCGTTTGTCCTTTACCTTGCTTTGAGTCCTCAGGGGGGAATATAGAAAATTGACTGCTAATGAGGGGGGATAATTAAAATACAATAGAGTCTTTAGGTGGGGGATCAGGTAAATTTTATTGTGACAAAACCAAACTTCTCCGACACCCCTCTCTCCCCCCCCCCCCATCCACGTTCAATAATGACTTTTGACTATCATGTCCATTCCAGTGTCCATTCATGCTACAGTTTATCCAAGTATGACCGCTGCTCCAAACAAGTCCATAGAAGCCGTCATTGGTGAAACTGTGTCATTTAGGTGGCACTACAATTCAGGAGGTCTAAAGAATGATCTTTTCGAGGTTGTGTTTGGTATTTGGAAGAGTCCTGGCTTCCTGAAAACAAAGTTGATAGCTGTCAACTCGAGTGGTTTTGCCTCAACAAGGTCTTCATATAAATCCTCCGTGGGTTGGGCAGGAAATTTGACATCCTC